TATGTTATGTACATGCATATTGCACTTGTGCGAAGCCGGGGCGGGTCGGTAGTTGAAATATATGATTTTGACTTTGACTTTGATACATATTTTTAAAAGAAACCAATAAAAAGCTGCCATGTACCTATGCCATATATCTATGAGAGATTGATTTCCTTGTTTCACATCATGATCTACACCATAGGTCATAAAAGCGTTGTTCATTTAGGATAGATTTGATGACAATCTGATTTATTTACTTGCAACGACTCTACAATAGATTTACTTTGATAAACGATTACTTTTAAATTTTATTTTATTATATGTAATTAAGCTTCATGCATAGAGTGTACACAAGGTGGACTTAATGCCGCAGGCATTTTCTCCCGGTCTGACCTTTAGGTGATGCAGAGAAGAGTTAATGGTAGGAGCAAGAAGCGAACAACGTTTTATTGAATTTAAATGTCGTTTGAATAAGAATTACAGTGATAAGCCTACTAGTTTACATCGTAGTTCCATCATTGAATTTAAACCAACTAAACGTACCTACTATTTAACTAATTTCTGCTTTTAATCCCTCAACCTAATTTTATTTCTTATAATTTTCCAGCGGACTACATCCACGTCTGCAAGAGGGACCCGGCAACTATCAATGACTGCGTCGTGAAGTCCATAGAAGCACTCCGACCACAGTTAACCAATGGCATCCCTGAGTTGGGGGTCCCTTCGATAGAGCCCTTCCTTATTAATGAGGTTTGTAAAGACATAACTTTCCTTATATATAGTTGTGGCAGCCTCAGTATTATAGTAAATGTAGTAGACTGCGACAATCTGGATATAATCACAAAACAAGGCGGTGTGACCTTATAGAAGTGTGAACTAAATCACTGTGACAAATTAATTAATAGTAATATATCTAGATTGCGTAAATAATTGTTTCATTATTATAGATTACATTTCAATGTCGCATGCATAATTTATTTTAAAACTGATCAAGTGTGGGAGAGCCATGCTTCGGCACGAATGGGTCGGATCGACCGGAGTGATACCACGGCCTCACAGAAAACTGACGTGAAACAACGCTTGCGTTGTGTCGTGTGAGTGTGGGTACCGGAGACCCAATTAATTATTCTTAGAAATCGAACAGTACGTCAAGTTTGAAATGGTTCTGAACATTTCGTTGTAAGTAAAATATTTTTTTAAGACGGTCACGCGCGCTTCCCATACAATGTCATACGTTAAATGAAGGTATAGTAATAATTTTTAATAAAACTGATGCATCGTTAATACACCCCACCCCAGTGCTGCCTCAGCAGTACTCATCATCCACCGGTAGCCTGATGCATCGCTAACAAATAAAGGGTGTACAATGTCCAATCATACTATTGGTTGCAAGCTGCAACACGTTGACAATTTGAGACCCTTTATTACTAACTATTTTGTGTTACCAAATAATTTCTGATACAGGATTCAATGTTGTTTTATTTCAATATATATTATTTAAAACTTTACATTTACTTGCATGTGTAATACTTATTTGTATTATTGTATGTTTCAGATCAAAGCTCTGACATCAGACAGTACTCCGCTTCGTGCGAGTGGTCACAACATCAAAGTCACCGGCGCCAGCGCATTCGTTATCAAGAGCTTGTCGTAAGTATTTTTATAAAAAGTCTCACTATTATTAAAAAACAGATGTCTCTTAAATTTTTTGACTGTCTAGCAAGGAGTATCATAGGAACTATGAATTATATTTATTGTGTTACAACTAACGCCATCTATCTTTGGAAATATTCATTTAACAAGTTGGAGTGGTCTGATCGAATATTGCTCATGGTTTTCTATAAGGCCCGTAATATATTTAAAAAACATGGCTAGCAAGATCGCTCTAGTGGTCAAAATAGGTTGGAGATTTCAGTCTAGAAACTTTACAATATTTACCTTAGTGTATTACAGTAACTAATATGACTACATTTTTAATATGATCAGTGGCGTAACTATACCTTTCGGGGTCCGAGGCAAATTCATCAAATGGGCCACTGTTCCTAATAAAAACGAACAAAAGTTTAGGTGAAAACCTCTAAACGGGGGCCCCTTCAAGCTGGGGGCCCGTGGTATTTTGCCATCTTACCACCCTGTAGTTACGCCACTGAATATGCTAACATTTTTTAAATGCATGACTAGTAGTATTCTGTGAATCATTTTGCTATGAGTAACACATCTGGCGCTTCATTAAACAAAAGTTGTTACTCGTCTAAATACAGATTAAATTTTGTGAAATTCTTTATGTGTTGTTAATATGAAAGACTAGCTTCTGCCCGCGACTTCGTACGCGTAATCCCATTTTTTCCCGTCCCCGTTCGTGATTTTCGGTAAAAAGTAAAAAAGAAGTATTGGTTAAAAAGTATCCTATGTCGGTCTCCTGGCTCTAAACTACCTCCCTACCAATTTTCAGCCAAATCTATTCTGTCGTTCTTGAGTTATAAGTGGTGTAACTAACACGACTTTCTTTTATATATAGAGGTATAGATTGTACATAAGTAAGTGCATCATATCAAAGTAAAGTGCAAAATGATTAATTAGTAAGAAAAAGTTAAGCTACTTACTTAGTATAAAACTCGGTTGGATAAAGAGTTTAAAAACAGAGCGATGATATTTTGTATTGTATTCATTGTACGTTATAAATCTATTTTAAGTAGTGTAGTACCAGACTATAACAATGATAGACGATGAACTATGCATGTTACCTTTAACTTATAACCCTTCCTCTGTAACAATTTTCTTATACAAGTAGAGTTAATAAAACATATAAATATGATTATCAATTGCAATTACAATTATTATACAATCAGATTTCAATTAAAAAACAAATGATATAAGACATTGAAAAATAAATTTGTATGTTTAATTGAAATTGAAATACAATCTACAATACAATGAAAATTAAGATAGATGTAAAATTAATATGAAATTAGAATAAAATTGAGATACAAAAATTTTAAAAAAATACGTGAGGTTCCACTAGCATGCAACTTCACCCATGTCTTTAAAAGGGGCAGATCCCATCATAAACATAAACAGATATTAACGTATTTTACCTTGATGATATTGTATTGATATTTATATGGTTCGTACTTGGCGTCCAATAAGGAACCATAGATTGCATGATCCCTGAATACTGCCTTTCACATTAAGCGTTTGGCCCTAGGTTGCGTCGAAGAGTTTAGTTTAAGAGAATGTTCCGTCTATTCCAGAGTGGACCTTGACACACTGAAGATAAGGGTGCATCTTCGCTTCCCCAAGCTGCACTTCGAGGGAGACTACAAGCTGGATGCTCAAGTCCTCATAGTGCCACTGAAGGGTCAGGGCCAGCTGAACGCTGATGCAGGTAGGTTTTTCAATAATAACATACATGACAGTAGAAGTGCTAGAATCACGCTCGAATGCTGAAAGGCTACTTACTCAATTTGAAGTCGTAATTAAATATAGTGCCATCTCTGTCATTTTACAAAGAATTTGTAGGAATAGCACTATACTCAAGCGTGTCTTAAAATTGAGTAACTAGTCTTTCAGTATTAAGTCGATAAATCCGTTTGTCTATTTAAAGCCCGAGTATGAACATTGATTAATCACGACATGAACTGACGAATCACAATTCTTCGTGAATAAAATATGTTTTTGAAGACCGAATGGTTTTCATAATAGTGGGTACAGTGGTTCCCATAGTTGTCTGGACTACGACCTACTTAAATCAAGATACTCAGGACTCACTTTTAGGAAATTAAACCGTTACCAATATGAAAAGTAAAATACAGAACGGTTGGTTAGTGTGTCATTGTACACACAAGGCTCACAAAAAATTCGCTTGCGACCCATCAATGATCGCGACCCATAGCTTGGGAAACCCTGGTGTAGTAAAATTATCTCCTCCCATGGGGCAAACCAAATGCATTATATTTTTAAATTTTAAATAGATACAGGTACTTCGTTTGATACTGTGTAATGGTTGAGTTAACGATATCGTTCGTGTCCTTGATAGACATTTAACCAACTTGAAAAAGAAAAAAACCTAGTCTCTCAATTTGGAATATGTATTTATGTGTGTGCGCGGTTATCTGGCGATTAGCTGAACCGATTTTGATGCAGTTTTCAGAAAAGTGTTCGTTATACTTGAGAGAAGGTTTTACTTAACTGACTTAATAACACAGGAGGGTTGAAGTCGGTTTTTTACATTAACTCCAAACAACAATTTGATATAGTTACGTACAAGAAAACAACTTTCAATAATAATCGAGTGATTTGCTTCTAGTGAAATGCGACGCAGAGCTGGTATTCCACTCCCAAATTGTCACAAAGGACGGAGTTGAGTACATTAAGTTCAAGAAGATCGAGGCTGACATCAGCATCAAGGACTACAGGGTCAAGCTGGACGGTCTGTTCAATGGAGACAGGACTTTAGGTCAGTACAGACGACAGGACTTTGAACTATACTTTGGGCAAAAACTGGACTTGATTAGAATCGTGTTAGTCTTAGTATAGACTTAAACAAATTTAACTAAAATCGCGAATATACTGAGAAAAGCTCTACTAGTTTCGAACCACAGAGGGGTTCTTCCTCATGAGCAGCGTGCGCGCTCGCGGCGACGCCGCTTTTCTCTGTATATTCCGAGAGTAACCCGGGATTTTAGTTAATTTAGTATGTCTCACGATAGTTAATATATTAAACGAATTTGATAAAAGGTCAAAAGGTTTTTTACAAATCGACAAAGAAACCCTAATGATGGCATTAGGGCAGGTTCTTAATCCAAGTTATTTATTATTGCTTTTATAATCGATCGATCTTTATGGAGCCGCGGAAGGACTAACGGGTTGCCCGGGCTCCAGCTCGAAGTGCAGGAATAGGAACGGGGAGGTTTTTAGTCAGTAAGAGTCTGACACTCCCTCTCGCCTAACGCGAGGCGGGAGAAGTCTTTGGATGATTTACCTACTTCGAAAAAAATCATAAATAGATTTTTTTTTTTACCTGAACTTTATAAGTATCCATTCTATATTAGCCATATTGTAAGTATAATTTGATTACGTTACAGGTGAAGCAGCAAACCAAGCCATCAACCAGAACAGAGGAGAGTTCCTCAAGGCAACCAAACCTCATTTGGAGAAGACAGTAGCGACGAACCTCCTGCAAGTTGCCAACAATATCGTGGACGGACTCACGCTTGAGCAGCTCTTCCCCAAACCCTAGACATAGTTCCTAATCTAGAATAACTTAGGTTTATAAGCCCACTGTGATTTATACTCGTTGAAATAATTTTCTATATAAATTTATATAATTTTTGATATTTACAAATGAAATGATGTTCTAACTTTGAACAGGATGACGCGTTTATTTTTTTTTTGTGCAAAAAATGCTATTGTTTGAATTTCGAGAAAGAGATAGATAAGTAAATTACGATGTAAATTATCAATACTATTATAAATGGATGTGAAATTACAATTTCGTAACTAATTGTATTTTTTAAACGATGTTTAAATTAAATTGAAAAGAAAATTATGTAATGTTTGTATTTTATTTAAGTTATACCTTACTTGTGTAGTATGACACATAATGGTAAAATCAATTTATGTGCAAGTGAGAACCAAGAGAGCACCTAAAATATTACTGTGTATTTGTGTATTAGACTGGTTTTAGGGTCGCGCTGATGGCATATGCAGACTGTCAGGGCTGACAGCCGAGATATATTTAACTTTAAGAAAGGTGCGCGCTGATAGCTGCTCGTACTCAAGTTCATACATAGGCAGTATGTTAGACTAATGGTTAGTATGGTCATATTGTCATAGCATCAACTTGCATAAAGACTGTACGTAGTTACGGCCTTACAGCTAGGCAACGAAACCAAAACCCAACAATGTAGTGGTATCATGAAGGGCAAAAGGAAAACATCTTATGTACTTACTTACAATGTACCTTTCTCAAATAAAAAACAAAAGCAAACTACTCTACTGAAGCACTGACGTCATGACATGTAGGTAATCTTCTATACATTTTTTTTTATTACATTAGGATTTTCTCCTGTGTCGTGGGTGCGTTTACAAACATACAAGTTCACATACACATGACACCCAGACCAGGAACAACAATTTGTGGATCACACAAAGAGTTGTTAAGTGCGGGAATCGAACCCGCGACACGTTGCGCGACAGCCGGTTGCCCAGCCACCGCACCAACCGTGCAGTTTGTATATCAAACTCAAACTCAAACTCAAAAGCATTTATTTCAATTAAACCATAATTTGGTACTTTTGAAACGTCAACAAATATGAGATATATAATAGTCTGTCAGTCTGTCCGTCAGTGAAGCTAGGCGCTCGTTCCAAAATGTCGATTCGAGTGGAGAAGAACGAGCAAGAAACTCCATTCGTTACTCTTTTAAAAAAGTCTGTTTTACATTGCTCTGATACATATTCCAATATTGTACACACATGTGAGAATAATGTAAAGACATACCTGAAGCAACATACAAATAACAGAACATACTAAAATAGAAAAAAAAAAAAAAAAACCAAGAGAAAACAAATATCTTAAGTCTGACATGGTCCTCACATATGTATACTGACAATCCATATAAAATAGTGCTTCTATACAAGAAAAAAATAAAAAATATACTCTTGTTTAAATAAAGAAAGAAATGCTCGATGCCACAAGAAAAATAGATTGCCTTCATCGGAATCAAAGTGTTAAATTACCTATTATCGTAATCTGAACTAGGTACTGACTACATTTGAGTATTGTCCAGTGGAGCCGAACCAACACGCTGCCAAGCATTCCTATCCTCAAGATAATCAATCACCCTGTAGTACGCTTGTTTACATAATTCGCGCTTAATATATGTTTTAAATTTACTTTCATTTAGATCTAGTATGCTATTTGGTATTTTATTATAGCATTTAATACCTAACCCCATAAAGGATTTCTGTACCTTGGACAGTCTGAATTGCAGTACAGCTAACTTATTCTTGCCTCTAGTATTAAGATTGTGTCTATCGCTTCTTTTTTCGAACAATTGCCTATTCTTTCTTACATACATTATATTTTCATATATGTATTGACAGGGCACCGTTAAGATGTTTATCGTTTTAAACAATTCTCTTAGCGATTCGCAACGGCGTAAGTTATATATTGCTCGGATAGCCCGCTTTTGAAGAATAAAAATTGATTCTATTTCTGCAGCTCGACCCCACAACAAAATGCCGTACGACATAATGCTGTGAAAGTAACTAAAATAGACAAGCCTTGCCGTATCTACGTCCGTGAGCTGTCTAATCTGTCTAACTGCAAAAGCAGCTGAGCTTAATCTCCCCGAAAGCGCCTTTATATGTGGGCCCCATTGTAGTCTATTGTCTAATGTAATGCCTAAAAATACCGTCTCGTCGACAAATTCTAACTTTTGGCCGTTTAAAACAACATCACAATCATTACTTCGGACGTTTGGTAAACTAAATTTAATACATTTTGTTTTTTTCTCATTAAGCGCTAGATTATTAATGGTGAACCAGTTTTGCACTCGAAGAATGGAGCTGTTTACGTCGTCAAGATTATTAGCACGTCGATCTATTTTAAAAATTAATGAGGTATCATCTGCAAAAAGCACCATTCTTGGTTCATTCTTGAATATAAATGGCAAATCATTTATATAGACTAAAAAGAGAAAGGGACCCAATATTGAACCCTGTGGAACGCCCATATTCATCGTAGAGCCCTGCGAGTTAATACCATTAACATGAACCTTTAATTGCCTATCTTCTAAATAAGACTTTATTAGACAGAGTGCGGTGTTTCTGATCCCGTAGTGATCTAATTTCAGCAAAAGTGTCTCGTGGTCAACGCAATCGAACGCTTTTGAGAGGTCACAAAAGACACCAATAGCATCTTGTGCTTCCTCCCAAGCACCAAATATTTCTTTCATTAAAGTGACACCGGCGTCAGTTGTACAACGACCTTTAGTAAAACCGTATTGTTGTTGGTGAAAGATAGAATGTTTATTAAAATGATGAAGCATTCGAGACAGCATTAACTTTTCAAATACTTTGCTGAGAACCGGCAAAACAGATACTGGCCTATAATTGTTTGGTTCTTTAGTGTCACCACTTTTAAATAATGGGACAACTTTACTATATTTCATTAGGTCAGGGAAAACACCGTCATCTATACTTTTATTGAAAATCACAGCCAAGTATGGCGCTATAGTTTGAATAAGTGATTTGCAAACTTTTACCGATAGTCCCCATAGATCTTCAGTTGATTTGATCTTGATCTCTTTAAAAACTTTTATTATTTCTAGAGGATTCGTATATCGAAAACTAAAGTCGTGCTGACACGATTGTATATGATTCTTAAGCAAAGTTACAGAGAGTGTTGCTGATGACTCTAAATCTTTGGTTGTTTTGATAGGAATGTTGGCAAAAAAATGTTCAAACTCCTGGGCTACATCTACGTTGGATGAAATCTGTCCCCTTTCAGTATTTAAACTTAATTCTGAATTTCTTAATCGTTTCCTACCAGTCTCGTTGTGTATAACTTTCCAAGTAGCTTTTATCTTATCATCAGCTGCTTTTATTTTATTACTAATATAAAGACGTTTCGCGGTTCTGCATACTATTCTAAAGGTTTTTGAATATGATGTTACATACTGATGAAATTGGAGGTTGGTGTTGTATGGTTTCATTCCATAAAGCTCAAAAAGTTTGTCCCTACTCTTACGAATACCGACAGTTGCCCAATCGCTAAATACGAACTTGGTATGAATGTCTTTTGTTTTTATTGGCAAAATATTGTTAAATTCTGTGTTTATAACTTTAAAGAAATCTTCGTATAACTGACTAGGATTACTTATATCTAGTGTTTTTGTACCTAATTTATTAGCCACAGAATTCTTGAGTTTCTCTAATTTATTAAAAGTAATTTGTCTAAATCTTATTTGAATTTTCTGCAGAGGCAAGTAAGAGCTAAAAGCAACCATAAGTCCACAGTGGTCGGAAGGCAAGCTGTTCATGACTATTTTTTCTAGATAATCACAATTACAGAAAACATTATCGATACAAGTGGCTGTGGAAGATGTTATTCTGGTTGGCTCCAGAAACACATTTTTCAGATTAAATGAATAAAATAAATTTAATAGCTCCATGCTACTTGTGTTATTCTCTAATAAATTTATATTAAAATCGCCACATACAAGTACAGATTTATTACCAGAACAGACCTTCCCCAGAACATCCTCCATGACAGAATCGAATAATGCAAGATTCTGGTAATTAGGTGGTCTATATACACAAACTACAACATGTCTATCCAGCTCAACACAGGACAACTCAATGGTGTGTTCGACTGACAATGCTACAATGTCTTTCCTATCCTTTGACTTAATACTGTTTCTAACTAATATTAAAGACCCACCGTGTAACATACACTTCCTACTAAAATTACTAATAACATTGTAATTTTCAAAGTTTAAGGATATTAATTGATCCTCCTTCATCCAATGTTCTGATAAACAAATTATGTCAAACTTAGTTTTTTCTAAAAACATTTCCATTTCAAACAATTTAGAGTAGCAGCCCTGAATGTTAACATGAAATAATTTTAGATTGTGCTGCCCCTGACTATGTGTATGTTTATTAAGAGTGGGTTTTTTCCTGCCAGAACATACCTTCCTGTCAAAATTATTTATGGGGGTACACTCTGTTGTCTTATGATCTAGTTTAAATTGCTATTATTGGTTAAGCTAATATTGTTATTAAAGTTAAAATTTATCATTGTACTGTTAGGTTGCCTAGACAGCACAGATTCGTCCCTATAACTAGTTACTGTTATATTATTTATAACAGTGTTAATATTGAATGCTATCAGCATAGCAATAGTTTGTCTGTATGTTTTTGAAAGGTACAATACACCTTTCTCTGTCAATTTAAAATCACTAATAAACTTATTAGTATCGAAAAATAAAAGCTTGTCGCTATGACAACATGTCAGTTGGTGTAATGAACTATTTAGTACACCAATGTGTTTATTTTTTGACTGTGACAAACAGTCAGAATATGGGAATGCACAAAGCATTATTTTTCCCACTTTTAATTGTAATAAGGTGTTCACACCATTCACTATATCCCTTCTTTTTACACCTAAGCTGTTACCTATTGTTAACACTATCATAGACTTTTCATTTAATTCTGTCTGCGTTATTTTATGAATTATTTTATTAAAACTCAGACTATGGTAACTGCTGTTAATATAACTATGGTTAAGGTGACCATATAACATTTTACCAAAACCTGATGCTAGTTCATCACCAAAAATAAAAGTTTTATAATCCAAATTACAACTATCACTAATTACATTTTTTTCCTTATCCTTCTGAGGGTATGTAGGTATTGAAGGTAAAGGTAAAGGCTCAGGAGGTTGAGGTTGGTTCACACAGCTGCAGAAAACATGATTTGTTAAAGATTCACATCTTTCCGCATTGTACTTCACCAGGTCGATCAACTCCCCTGCCTCAAGCAGG